GAAAATAGCTTAGTAAAATAACTTAGTATGTGTGTATATATATATATATATATATATATATGTGTGTGTGTGTGTGTGTGTGTGCCATCCTTGATAGGAAATTGCTCGAGTGGCGGAAGTTCAAATCACGAGGCAAGGAATGCTCCTCCTGTTCGAAATCTTTTCTCTCTCTATTTTCCACCATTTTCTACCAGTTTCCACATTTCCAATAAGGGAGCACCCTTTTTGTCGCCGTAAATCGACCAACGACGAATCTTGGAGAAAAATGAAATCTAATTTTATTCGTTTTTTTTATTCGCCACTCGGTCGGAGACGTTAGAAGAAAAGAGGAAAGCGTGGCGAGCAATGAAATCGAACGAACGAACTTAGCTAAAAGGACCATTTTACCGTTGCCGATTGAACACACGCGGTACGTTTTACTCGACTAATTAGTTTACTCGAGCCCTTCCCCGCTTCAACTTCCCGCGCAACTTTGACTCCTTCGATTTTCTCAATTGTCGTTGTTGTTGTGAAAAAATTCACGACTTCCTCCTTAACAACTCCTTTTCGTTTCGCAGATCGTCCGAGGAAACGGGGGACGCGAATCACGGAGCGAGAATGGGCGGAGGAGAATGGAATGGTTGGTTACAACGATGTCGAGAATCGCGACGATTGGTACTCGTGATCGTCGCTATTGCTCTACTTTTGGACAATATGCTTCTGACCACGGTCGGTGAGTAACATATAAATCGACTCGATACTTTACAATTTAATATTTTATCATTTTTTAACACGTGTGATCGAACACACACACACACACACCTCTTTCCATGTCCATAAAATTAAAGAAGAAATGCATGCGACTCAACCAAAAATGCTTGAAGAAAATGGTTGGAGAAAATGGTTGGAGAATGGACAGGACGTTAGCGAATGATTATTCGGATTTTCCACTTATTTAGCTTTTCCCTCTTAACTGGAAGTGGGTTTCCTTTATCGTGGCCTAGAACAATGTTTAATTCACGAGGCACGCGTCTATATGACCCTCCATACGATTCTACTCGGAATGCTAGAGAATGCCTGCTCCCTCCGAAATATACGCGAGGGGACGAACGGCGGACGCCGTTCTGGCAATCCGGATAAGTGGTCATACATTTATGTAGCGTATACGAAACAGCTTCTCAGCTCTAACAAATCATGGAAACGCGATTCCACTGGATAAAACAATCCTGAACTTATTGCGCTTCTCTCTCTTTTTTTTTTTTTTATAATAAAAAACGCGCGTTTAAAACCTTGGTTTGTAATATCTCTCTTTTTCCGTATTTATAAATGCTCGAATAAATATTATTTTTTATTATACTTATGTTCAGTTTTACAAATGAAATGAACGAACGGCGTGCTCCACACACGACGATATATTTCAAATATTTCTTTTTCCACCACTTTTATTGTTTTAACACTGTTCCATTATTTTACGCAAAAATGACACGAGGGAGGAGAAAGTTAAATAGGTGGAAAATGAAAAGAAAAAGAAAAAATTTACTCGCTAACGTTGGAGGTGCTGGGATTTGAACCCAGGACTTTCAGCATGCGAAGCAGACACTCTACCACTGAGTTACACCCCCGAGCTGTAAGATAGGTTCATAAAACATGTTATTATACTGTAGAGATCAAATTTTTAATTACGATTAATTAATTAATTAATTTCGATACCCCTGTTACGTTTAGTTTTCTTTTCGGGTTTTCCTCGATCCCTGTTAGCACGTATATATAATATACGTATGAACGTGTTACAGTTCCAATTATACCAGAGTTTCTGTACGATATCAAGCATCCGAATGCAACGTTGAGCCAGCATTTCGAACAAAGTGGACGAGCAACGGTCACCACTGTTCATCCAACGAGTACCAATATCGTGACCTCGACGAGCCCGAGCGTAACCACAACGCCGAAATGCCTTTGCACTTCAACCAAATCGAATGATTCTCAATTGGAATTTCTTTACCCGAGCACACCGTCTAGCGTCGAGTCGACAATGGGTTTGCTTGGTAAGAGACAAAATTCTCATCGATATTATATTGTTGAATTTTGATTCGTAATTTATTAATTTTTCCACCAGGGACCACGAGCAGTAGCGATGAAACGAGTTCAACAACGGAATCGGAAGAAAAACAACGACATCGCGAGTTACTTCAAGAAACGGTCGCCGTTGGCATAATGTTCGCTTCGAAGGCTTTCGTTCAATTGCTGGCAAATCCGATTGTCGGCCCCCTTACCCACAAGTAAACTTTTTACTCGCGTGAATCAACTCGAGATATCTATATATATTTTTTATTTCATACAACTATACCGTTGTGTTTATGTGTTCAGGATCGGTTACAGCATACCCATGTTCACCGGCTTCATTATTATGTTCTTATCTACTCTGATATTTGCATTTGGCCGAAGTTACGGCATACTTTTCTTAGCAAGAGCGCTTCAAGGTGTTGGCTCGTCATGTTCGAGCGTATCTGGTAAATTCTTTATTTTTAATTTTGTGCATGTTATATTAAACACGAGATTCGGAAAATAATAATAATAATAATAATAATAATGATAGTAAACGTAAGTTTTAATTGATCGAGTTGGATATAATGGCAGGTATGGGAATGCTGGCTGAAAGATACCAAGATGACAAAGAGCGTGGAAACGCAATGGGTATTGCGCTCGGTGGATTGGCCCTTGGTGTTCTCATCGGCCCACCATTCGGCGGTGTAATGTACGAATTCGTTGGGAAATCTGCTCCATTCTTGATACTTTCTGCCTTGGCACTTGGTGATGGAAGTAACTATCTGTTCGCTTTATCATCACTTTGTTTTATTACTTGTCCTTGCCTTGTTTATTCTTGATTCTATCATTTCACAGTTTTACAACTTTTGGTGCTTCAACCGTCCGTCGTATACACTGAAGCGGATCCACCATCGCTAAAAACACTCATCACCGATCCTTATATCGTTTTGGCTGCCGGTACGTTATATAATTATAATTATTAACCATTAAATGAATTATCGAGGCTGCTGCGGTCCTTCAAAATTTAAATCAATAATTGTTTGATATATATTGATGTAATTATTCGAAAATTTGTGTATATCTTATGTTTAAAATATTGCTAAAAAAAAAAATTAAATTTATCAATTCGATAAAAATTAAATAGAATAATTCAACGGCAGCAATGATTTCAATAATCAATCGTCAACGAAAATTCGTATTTCAGGTGCAATAACATTCGCCAATATGGGTATCGCTATGCTTGAGCCCAGTCTTCCAATTTGGATGATGGATACGATGTGTGCAAGTAGATGGGAACAAGGTGCTACGTTTCTGCCGGCAAGCATTAGTTATTTAATTGGAACTAATCTTTTTGGACCACTTGGGCATAGAATGGGCAGGTTGGTGGATATTATTTATCAATGAATATTACATTATTGCAATAATTTATATATTACAAAAATTTAATTATACTAGGAATGAATAAATAAACCCGTGATTACCATCGCCTGGATAGCTCAGTCGGTAGAGCATCAGACTTTTAATCTGAGGGTCCAGGGTTCGAGTCCCTGTTCGGGCGAAATTAATTTTTTCTTTTTATTCATTTCCTTTTTCTTTTTCTTCTCCTTTATATAAATATTTTTTATTATTACTTTTATTTGCACAACTTGTTCAACATTTATTAATATATTTTTCTATTTTTATTATAGGTGGTTAGCTTCGCTAATCGGTCTTGTTGTGATTGGCATTTGCTTGATGTGTGTAAGTATTTTGTATGAATATTTAAGTAATCATATCATTTATATCAACTTTTTTATTTACTTGAAATTTAGTACTTGGTATTCTTTTTGTATTTTCTATCCAATATATTATTTACAGATACCGCTAGCTAGAAGTATCAACCATTTGATCGTACCTAATGCAGGCTTGGGATTTGCCATTGGTATGGTGGACAGTTCGATGATGCCCCAATTAGGATATTTAGTAGACATACGACATACTGCTGTTTATGGAAGCGTGTATGCCATTGGAGACGTTGCATTCTGCTTAGGTTTCGCAATTGGTATGTATGTACGTATGCGAGTAATTACGACTCGTAGGCAATAATAAAAGAGACGAGAAACGAAAGAAGAAAAAGAAGAAATAATCTATTCTCGAAATCTAGACTGTGTTTGCATCTACAAATTTTATCGCAATGAGTCATCGATATTTATGGATTATAGTTATTTTTTTTCTAATTATTAGGAATCTCTTTAGCCTTTTTGTTTCGATATTCATTTGCATTTAAAATTTTTAAATAATATATATTTTTATATATTTTTTTTTATAATCGATATAATATTTTAATTATTAATTGTTCGTTATCAGGACCTGCTTTGAGTGGTACGTTAGTCAACAGTATTGGTTTTGAATGGATGTTATTCGGCATTGCTATTTTAAACTTTATTTATGCTCCATTGATGTACTTTTTACGAGCACCGCCAACGAAAGAAGAGAAAAAGGTAAAGTCTAGTTAATCTTATAAAAAAACTTATAGTTATTATTTAAATGTTATAATAATCATTTTCGTTTATATTAATCGTGAATTGTTTTTTTCAGTCATTGATAATTGGTGAAAAGTCGTCTGTACGCTACGTAACGTATCAGAACGAGGAGGAAGAACAATAATTGAAAGGATGATTTCGAATACAAAATACGCAGTTCACTCCCTGCATTCTTGAGATGGAACAACGAGTTAATACGATGAAAGAATTCTATGTCGATAATAACGTTTCCAAAAATATAGTTAGACTAAATATTATTTACTCCTTTGTTTAGCGCAAATTGTATATATACATAGTACATAGTATTAGATCGTAAGAATAAGTGTGTGCGTTCAAAAATCGTATGCGTCGATGACGCATTAGCTAACAGATATATTGATTGATCGAGGCACCGAAATAAAGATACATTGATATCATTCGATCGTCAAATATGCGAATTTTTAATCGGTTGAGACATTGTCTATCTTTCAAAGATCATTAATTTTTATTTAAATGGAGAATCGCCTGCTTTGGATTCCCTGAATGGCTGCAGGGAAACCGTAATAATAACGAGCAGGTATGATGAAGAATTCTCCAAATTCTTAATAATTCGAATCGGATGAAAAATTTAAATATTACGTCACGATTATTTCCTTTACTTAAATACATAATCATGGAAGAAGGCGATATCTCAACGATTGAAAATTCGCAGCTTTGTTTTTAACGAGGAAGGGAAAAAACTGAATTTAGACACGTTCTCGACGCGATGCTTCATATTTGTCCGATCAATCCGATAATTTATCGGTGATCAATAATTCTTCGTGCACTATCATCGCTTACTTGAAAGTAGCCGAATGAATATTTCTTGAATATGATCGGATATATTTCAAGTAATAAACTTGTAGTCATTGAAGAAAAGTATTGCTAAAACATTCGACGAATTTGCAAATTACAAGATATTTTATGTGAATTCGCGGCGGAAAACTAACAAAAAAATTTAATTATTTTTTTTTACATATATATAAATGTAATGCATGTCAAGATCAATTCTTTTTAAAAGGGAACGACATAAGAACGAAACTCGTATATATTCGCGTTCTCTTTTTTCTTAATAGTTTTCCATATACTGAATAATAGATACATCATTTAAAATAATATAAATATATTAAATAGAATATATAGATAGAATATATATCTATAGAAATAAGTAACAGAATGTTTACATGTGTGTATATCGATATAAAATATCTTCGTTGATCTTTGTATTTGTTGTTTCATCGTGAAAAATGCATGAGATTGTTAAGAATAGAAATTATATGGTATGTTCACGACTGTATATTGGATCCTAAGCTATTGTGAATGGATATGGAAAAAATGAAGGAAGTAATTGAATTGTTATATAATTGCCTATTAGTATTATAAATCTCTAACGTAAAATTATTCTAACAAAAAATTGATTTTATTATATAATATTTTCTGATAACGATGAAGCATGAAATTGTTATACTATATCTTTCTAATGATGTAAAACATTTGAATCTTCATAGATTCTGTATATTCATATATGTTATTATATTATTATAATAATATGTATAGTAGGAGGAGATAGTATCAAAAAAGATTATCGAAATGAAATGAAAATTAGATTAGAATTTGCATTATTCAAATTTGAATAAAATAAAAAATAATTAAAGATATATATATAGTAAAAAATATATATATAAATGTATAATATAGTAAAATTATAATAGAGATATAATTGACGAAGAACAGTTTTCTACCGCGAATTTAATGAATTCTCGAGGTTGCGTTACGTTATCACGCGAACGCCGACCTACTCCCGATAAAAAACGCGAGTCAATTCGATTTGCAAATTCATCGCGAACGTTTGACACGATCGAGCGTTCTTAAGAGAAAGGAGAAGGAGGAGAAGAAATAGAACGAGGGCATCGTATTTGGGAAAATGAATCGATTGATGATTTCGATTTACAGAACCGAATATTAAAAATTGAAAAATTTCATTAAGAAACGGCGAATCGTCATCTCCGCATCGATATGCATATATATCGGCTAATAAATTTTCTGTATTGATATTAAAATGCGATATATATTCTCGTTAAGAATTCTTCATATTTCTGTAAATACAAAAAATATACGTATTTATATATGTATTTAAGAAGAAATTATAACAGAATGTAATCAAAACTCAGCGTCAACTTCATTGTTGATCGACAATGATTTGCCAGCTTCTTTTTCATTTTCATTCTCTTTCTTTTTTTCTGCCGCGCATGATAGAACCTCGATCGTGATGTATATATCATCTATTTTATCGATGTAATGATATCACGCTTTTACAACTTCTTGTCTGTGCTCCGCGTCAAACGAATAGAAAGAAAATCTTAGCAATTAACTCATCGATAGCTGCTATTGCAAACAGACAATAATCGATATATCACGAGACGAAAGTTTCTTTATATGCAACGTTTTATCGTTATTTAATGAAACCTTCGTTTCGATAAATTACGTGCCCTTGATCAATCCATTTGAATTCAACAAATTGTTCAATAAGAGTTTCATTCGATTTAAAAGAAACCAGAACGAAGACGAAACTAGAACAGTCGCATATGTATAGACACAATTTAATCTCGGATAAGCATTGCGCACAGGCATAACCCATTAAACTTCTACATTTCTTCCTTCTATTCTTTGTCATTTTAACATATATACATACATATATACATATATATGTTTAACCAGCTGGTGTATGGGTCCGATTTAATCTGCCTGTGTAATCGTTGAAAAACAGTAAGACTCAAGAAGAAGAAAGGTATTTTTTATTCTCGATATTGTGTGTGCATATGTGTGTGTGTGTACTTGCGTAATCTTGTACTAAAGTGCGTAAAAAAGCATGCATTTATAAAGGAAAAATTATCTGGGAGGGAGTTAGAATATGTACGCATATCGGATCTGAAAATCGTCTGATTTTCGCCCAGTGGTATTATACGCGATGCTCCAAAATCTCAAATTCTTATCTCGTAAGATCGCTGCGAACAAACTTTATTTTAATGAATCGTATTATTCGACGTTATGTGTCGTTGAAAACCATTATATGTTTACATGTATGTTGTTCAATAACATATTTAAATAAATATTTGCGTGTTTAACATGAAAAATTACTATACAATATATTATCATATATCTGGAATAATTAGAATAAAGCATTAAAATTTCTTCAATTTTCTATTATTAAACCACGCAATATTCTTTTTTAGTATGATGCAATAGGTATTTCAATATACACATTATATACATATGTTGTGTACAATATATATACACAATATTTAATTTATTTATTCTCTCTAGCGTAGAAAAATATTTTGTTAAAGAACACATATTAATGATCGATTCCACGGATGAAAGTCAGATCCTATGTTATAAAAAAAAAANAAAAAAAAAAAAAAAAAATAAACACAATACGATTGCGTTAATACACATCGACTTTTTTTTGTACGTAACTCACATATCATCTTATTAATAGTTATTATTACAAACAACTTTAATTAATAATTAACATTCAACAGCAGTATATACAAAAATGTCTTACTTAATACTATTTTAATCATACTATTATATTTGCGCATACGTGAAAATATATAACATAAACATAAATAATAAATAATAATAATATATAATATATATTTATTTATTTATATTTATATTTTTTTCTTAAACAATCACAATTGAATTTTATTTTTTACACAATTACGTTGATATATTTACTTCTCGAAAGATATTAAAATATCGTCTGTCGTCACCAAAATAATTATCAAAAATGTGTTATTCTCCGACGATAAAACGATACAACTGTATCCTAATGCTTTGACACAATCAAACATTAGTGTACTAGGCAAAATAAAAAATAACAATTACCATCAATGTTCGCGGCATACGATAAATCGATCCAAGTATATATATATATCTTTTCCATTAGCTTAAGAGTTATACAGATCGTTCATTTTGTTATATCACAGTAATCTAAAAATATATAAGTCTAGCATCTTCTGGATTCTGTTCTACTGGACAGTATGGACATTTTAATCTAAAAAATAAAATTCAATTATTATTTCAAAAACTTCAATTTTTCTTTGGTCTTATTGTTTATTAATTAAAAAGAACTCTTTCATTTATAATAATATATTTTATCACTAAAAAACGTACTTATTTGCATTTGTAAGTTTGTTTAACGCATCTCTTGAAATAACATGTCCACAAACTAATTTCATTGGTGGATTATTCTCTGTACTTTGTTGCCTTAAAATTGGACATGCAAAGACAGAATGATAACGACCTTCTTTACCAAGGTCTATTTCAATCTGTGTGGAAAATATCATTTAAATAATATTATCTTTTCTAATCATTGTTCTAATTACTATTACTTACAGGTAACTCATCTTTTCCATTCCAAACAGTATTTACTTGTCTTTGTTGCATAACTTGCTTAATATTTAGAAGTGTTGGTAATGCAGTACAACCAGCATTAATACTAAAACAATATTATAAGATTATTCTATTGATTTGTGTATTTATCAATATAAAAAAACTTACCACACTGAAAGAGGACTATCTACACTTAAACCAAATAATGTGCAAGCCTCCCTTGTAAATACATCATGAATATCTAACCACAATGTGGGATCTAATAAATGGCTATAAGGAGAAGATTGTATTCCATTTGGCAAATAAAGTAGCGTGCCCATTAAAGCTTGCACTTCTTTCCCGTGACGTTCAACGTATTGTGTAAGATTTTGACGGGCATAAGTTATTGCTTCTGTTTGTTTACTAGGTCCTTGTTGAATCAATCTTATGAAATGCAACCTATGCAGCTTGAACTCAAGAGATGAATTCTACAAGTAATATTTAATTAATGTCAAATATTTTTTTTTAATTATTTATAATAATATTATAATAATATTATCAAAGTAACAATAAATGATATTCAATATACTTGTGCTAAAAGTGCCTCTCTGTGTTTTTTTGCCCAATCAAGAGCTGGTTCCAGATTTCTTTGTTTTAAACAATCTAATATATAATTTAATTCTGTAAATGGCTCTTTTGTACCTTCATCTGTTTTAATTCCAGCTTCCTGCAACAAAAATTCATTATATTTATATATATATATATTTTATAACAAACTAATAGCAAAAATATTCTTGTTATTAAATGTATTTATGTAAACTTACCGCTGCTAATTCTGCTGCAATATCTAACATACCATGACGATAAAAATGTTGACAAATGACTTGATTTAGAAGATGTGATTTTTCAGGGCCTGAAAAAACATCTTCTCTACTTGTACTTGCAAAATCTGCAGTGAAATTTCTATCAATTGCTTTTCCAACTTTAGAAACAGAACCATGTAATTCTCTATGTTCAGTAGTTAAACGATGCACAGTTTCACATATCTTTTTCATTGTTTCTTTTAATATTTGTATTTGACCTGGTGTTAATTCATGATTGGATGGTGCTATTGGAAAACAAATTTTGTTTCTTTTAAATAAAATAACACATAATTTTAATCTTATATTTGATTAAAGCGTTAAAGAATCAAAAAACATAAAAATAAACGAAAAAAATGTAAATAATCGAAAAATTTTTTTAAATGAAAAAAGATATTGAATAAAATGTTGCAACAAGAGAGGTTAGAATTAGACAGAATAATATAGGGAGGTTAATAAAAAATTTAAACATCTTTCAGGTTAAATTTTACTAAATCTATATATTCATATTGATTCTGTAAAAATTGAAATCTTCTAAATCTTTTTTCTTTCTTTTTTAGAATTACTAATAATATCACGATTTCCAAAAGATTTTATTTTTTTACTCATAGATGTCAACGAATAGTGACATTGTAAGTATTGTGAAAGCTTTTAGAATACCTTCTGCAAATTCCTTTTTTAAAGATTCGACATGATTTATGAGATCTTGCAGTACTGTCTCTGCATGTTCGTTTACGACTCCAAATTTTAATAAAATCTTGTCAACTTCACGTTCAACGACATTACACGCCTCCATTATTGTTTTTCTTGGTGATAGCGCGTCACTACTTGTCACTTTTGCTTTATGCACATGTAGATGTATACTTCGTGCGCATACACATAAATATACGAATAAGATTAGAATCCAATACCTTTTAATTCACATATATTGTATATTACATGTATATTGTGTTGACTAGTTTTCTAATATATAAGATATACATATGAATTATATTATTTTCATATAGAATATCAATTATTTGTTTATAAAAAAATTTTTTAAATCAATATAAATTTTTTAAATTGAAATATAGATAGAATAAGATTAAAAATTGAAACACACATAATATTCAACAATATTTCACTTGATTATGAATTATTTTTATTAGTGTTGCTATTGTTTAATCATTAATCACTATTGTCGCTGTTACATAATGATGACAATATGATAACATTTTAAATATTAAAATTGTTATTTAATAATGTTTTTTATTAAATGAAAATATATAATTAATATATATTAGGAAATATATTTTACTTTACTTTATCAGACAGAATATTAATATTTGATGTATTTCTAAAATTTTCAATAAACAACTACCTAAATTTTTTACTTTTACTATGATAATACGATTTCACTAATTATAAAGTTTAAAAAAAAAATAATAATTCATTATATCAATAATAAATAATTAATTTCTTCTGTATTATCAAATTACTGAAGATCAGCTGTTACTCCATCAAACTGAACATGGCTCTGTAACAAAAATATTATAAAGAAGATCTATGTTTTCTATTTTTTCTATGTAATTAATAAGTTTAAAAGAATTGATATTATTATGAAATAAAAAAATGTACCCATTCTCGTGCCATCATAAGAATTGTATTTCGAGGTAGTTTTGGTCCAATTAAAGGATTCATTTGAGCCATATAACAACATAACCAGCTATAAAATATATAATAAATCGAGTAACATTATTTATAAATTCATTCAAGTGCTTTATTTGATATTCGTTAACTTACAATAACCAACATGTAAAAGCTGTCAACATAAGCATAACCTGAAGAATCCTATAAACGAAAAGTTTATAAAAATTAAATTTATTAAATTTAATTAATAATTTTAGATAATTATATTTATTTTTTTCTTATAACAAAAAAAATATTTGAATATTTAAAATTTTTGTATGTTAATTATAATGGAATTATATGGAATACGTACCCACGATTAGTACCTTTTGGAACAAAAAAGGTAAAACGATTCCTATTACTCCCCAAAATATTGTAAAAATTAATATTGGAATCAATGATGCTCCCATTTTATAATAAATTTTTCTATATATCAATGGGCTAAATCTATTAAGCAATCAAAATTTATTAAAGTAATCGTGAATCACGTGAATATCTCGATTTACTTCAACAAATGTTGAACTCGAAAATTGCGAGATACGATATATCGCATATACATGCATATTTTCGATATATAATTCGTAATTGATAGACAATCAAAATTAATCAATAATTTGATAATTTAATTCAAAAACATCTTTTTATTAATGAAAATTTTACAAATATATAAAAATTGAATTAGAACTTAAGTTTGCTTAATTTCTTCTTCCTTAATCTCTCTCTCTCTCTCTC